GGTTTTTTTTTAAATGTCAAAAATTATAGAAAAAAACCCCACAGGTCTTCTCAACTACTAGCTCCCTGTCCCCAAGGCTTGAGCTCAGTTTTGTGGCCTCTGAATGCAGATATTTATGAGCAGAGACAGAGTGCTTTCCTATACCCCTGCTCAATCTCTCCATACAGTCAGAACCCTGGTTGATATCCAGAGGGAGAGCTTTGGTACAGAGCTAGTGATACAGCTCAGTGGCATAAGCATCTGCCTGGCAAGCACAAGCTTGTAAGTTTAATTCCTGGTGCTCCCCCCAAAAAGGAAATGCGACTGTCTAAATCACTTCATTTCTGCAGGCTTGCTTTTCAAATCTATGGGACTGACATTTTATATCCTTTCCTCATCATGCTTTCCTTTTTTCACTCCTCTTGTGCTTGAAGGATAAGATAGGATTGACGAAAGAGAGGCTAATAACAATTTTTCTTCTATGAGGCAGGTATTTTGTTTAGTTTTGCTTTGCTTCTTGCTTTGCAGTACTGGGAACTAAACTCAGGCCCTTTACACTGAGCTTCAGCCCCAGTGCACTTTTTAAATGTTGTTGTTATTTTTAAGATCGTGTCTCCCTCAATCACTAAACTGCTTGGACTGGGCTTAAATTTACAATCCTACTGTCTTAGCCTTCCAGGCCTGTGCCACCAGGCCCTGCAAAGGCAGACATTTTTATCTCTATTTTATAGATTAGATAACTGAGGTCAATAAAAATTAAGTCATTTACTCAAAGATACATAGAACTACTAGGAACCAAAGCTAGACTGGAACATAAAGCCTCACTGAAGCACTGAGACGCTAAGTCTTTATTGGCAGATGGAGACCAGACTCCTGAAGTGCTGAGCTTACTGAAGGGAGGGGACAAAGAGGCAGTACAAATTAGGGTGATCCCTGGACTAGCAGTAAGCAGAAACTGCTAGATCTGCACTAGAGCTCTGGGGAAGTTGCATTGTTCTAAATGGATGTCCCAAACAGACGGCAGCTCATATACTGAACTCAAAATTCTCTGACTGGAGATTGACACGGTACCCTTAACAGACTCGATTTCTTAAGAAGCTGAGAAGCGCTTGGGGATTTAGCTCAGTGGAATAAGTGCCTGCTTGGCAAGCGAGAGGTTGTAAGTTCAATCCCCAGAACCAAAAAGAAGAAGCTGAGAGGGCCTTTCAAGAACAGGAAAAGAAGGTCAGCTGCGGATGTTCTTGGAAGGTCCAGCCCCTTCCCTGGGCCTACTATGGGTTCCTAGGAGGGCTGCTCATCAGTCGGGGGATTGTGGGAAGATAAAAATCCCCAAAAATTGCAGCCATGTGGAGCAAGAGCAACCTCAGCTGGAATCCATTCCTCTTAAATGTCACAGACTGGAGTTCCCTGGAAGCCAGAAACTGGGGATGAAGCCGAAGCCCACTGAGAGTGACTGCAGCAGGAATTCTATATGGACTCGGTGGGGACGACTGCTGAGCAGAGCGGAGAGTGGGAACCTAGAGTGTGACCAGAGGCCACACATACCCCGCACACTCAGAGCTGGCATCATAGTGTCTCTGCCTCCTGGGGTTGGAACACAAGGCTCGTGTAGATGACAGATCACCCTTGTCGTGGCTCCTCTATCCTATTAATTGCTTCCAGGAGATATGACAAGTACCAAAAACGAGTTCTGAATAAAGAAAGTTGTCTGAAAAGATTACCTAGTGAGTCAGACAGCAATCAGCACAGACAAGTTCTAACTTGTACAATGAGTGCCAAACGAAAGACCAAAGTTGGGCAAAATTTCCTCCTCAAAATGCATCAATTATGGGGTCGGGGATATAGCTCAATGGCATAAGCACCTGCCTGCCAAGTGCAAAGTCCTGAATTTGATTCCCAGTGCAAACACACACACACACACACACACAAAGAGTACCAAATTCACAGGGTTTCAAAGTAGTCAAGTACCAAGTCATGACAGTATTTGTATCTAGGGTGGGAGGCTTGCTCACAAAATCTCGAAGCCACCAAGAGTCGGCCTTCTAACACCTCACCTCTGTACTGCAAACCTGTGAAGGCCAATTCCAGAAAACACCACCCCCAAAAGATGGAAGGGTAATTTCCTGCTTCCGTTGTGAGCAAGAGTTGGGGGGAGCTCATCCTCCTGGTGGTAGATTTTTCTCTTTTCCCATCAAAATGGAAATTTGCAGCTGTATCTTTCCCTGTAGAAATCTAACGCTGATACAGGTATGTCTGATGTCAAGCTTTGCCTGGCCTAGCGGGGCTCATGACCTGTGGTGAGGCTAGAGTAACAGTGGATCCCACAGGGATAACTCAGACTTTTCCTGATATTAACAGCCAGGGAGAACCAGAGCGGGGAGGTGATTTAGATCTCTCCTTCCTGGAGAAGTGAGGGCACCAACAGTTTGGTGCTCCAAGACTGGAGAGGTGCAGGTGGCCTGAGCAAACAGTGCCTTATATTTACCCCTCTCTTAACACACAGGCAGACACTTACACCTCTGTGGAGGACAACAAGTGGGAATGAGCTGGGTAGAGATAATTTGTTACTTATGAGAGTCTCTGTTTTCTGAAGAGCAGAACCTTCTCATTTGAAAGGTGATTATTGTGAAAATACAGATTATGCAAGTGGAGACAGGAGGAAGGGCTTCTCAGGGGAAGGTTGAAGAGACCCCAGGAAGAGAAGAGACCCAAACACATGTACCAGAAGCCCAGAGGAAGAGGGGGAAAAGGAGCTGACAGAAGAGATCATTAGAGAGCTGGGCAATATAAAATGTCAGGTAATCCTGTCTTCGCAAAATCTTCAGTAAAATCTCCTTAACCAATGCTTTTTTTTCTTCCTTTTCCCCCAGTGGTAGGGATTGAACCTGGAGCTTGCACATCTCCATGGACCACTGGGCTACACACACAGGTTCATCAATGCTTTTGCACTGTGGTGGGAAAGGAACTCAAAGTGCTGAGCTTCAGCTCAACAAGGGGCTCCAAGTGCATTCAGGGGTCCACTTCTTCTAGGTGGCCCCAGAGGGTTTTAAATGACACCCAAACTTTTACTGCCTTGCGGGACAGGGGAGACTCTGACCACCGCAAGCTGAGAGGAGGGCAGAGGGGTTTGCAAGTATGTGGTGCAAGAAAGGTGTGGTCCCATTTGATCTGGGGGGAGGGGAGCAGGGATGCCTGATGCTGCCTAAAGGGCCCCACACCCACAACACTCTCAGAGTTGTGTGTGATCTTCCTGCACTTAGTTCCCTGCCTGAAGTGGAACTATGACCTCTTCATTCAAGGGAGTTCCAAAGTAGATTCCGGAAGGTCTGGTGGTGTTTTTTTTTTTTGTCTCTTTGAGACAGGGTCTCGCTATGCAGTTCAGGCTAGCCTTGAGCTCACTTTGTAGCCTAGGTTGGTCTCAAACCCGCAACGATCCTCCTGCCTCAGCCTCCCGAGTGCTGGGATTACAGGCGTGAGCCACCATGCAGCTGTATCCTTCCCTGTAGAAATCGTGTTTTGCTCTTTTATGGTACGTGTTTAGAGACAGGTCTCACTCTGTAGTTGAGACTGGCCTTAAACTCACTACGCAGCCCAGGCTGGTCTAGTACTCTTGGAAATTGTATTGTTCAGCCTCCCAAATGGTAAGCTTGTAGGTGTACACTACCATGCCTGGTTGGTGGGGGCGTTTTGCAATTAATTAAATAAACTTGTTACGCTTTTCTATTATTAAACTGTCTTTTGTTATTAGGAACATGGAAAGGGCCCCTTACGATGCTTGGGAAAAAGTATCACATTTTTCTGCCTCTACAATTTCTGGCACCCAGAGTGAGGCATCATAGGCTGGCAGCAGCACCATCTGTTACAGACACCTTGTTGAATCCAGAAGTTAGAGCCAGAAAATTAAGGATTCTTTGGCCAGGTGGTGGGACATGCCTATTTACAGCACTTGGGAGGCTGAGGCAGGAGGATCACTGGAAGGCTGAGGCCAGCCTAGTCTATACAGTAATCTAAAGGCCAACCTGAACTACATAACAAGATCCTGTTTCAAAAACCAAAAAAAGAAAGAAATCTTACATCGGGCTCTCAAATCTTTGCCTGTGGGATCTGGTCAAGCCAGAGTTTTATTTTAGGACTACCCAGGAACCCTGAGGGGGTTGAGGAAATTTATCCTTCTCTACAGTAGATACCCAATAAGTAGCGGGCATTTTCATTTTTAATAATTTGAATAAGAGACCTAGAAAAGGAGGGAGAGAGAGAGGATACAACTTCCATATTATTTCCTGATCACTGGAACACATCCTCTTATTTACCAGATTATATTCATGAAGTATAGAAATGAATTATAATTTTATTATCAAAAACCAGTTAATTAGCCAGGCTCGTTGGCACATGTCTGTAATCCTAGCATTTCTGGAGTCTGAGGCTGAAGGATTATTGCAAGTTCAAGACCAGCCTAGGCTACAAAGTGAACTGAAGGTCTGCCTGAACTGCACAGGAAGACTGTCTCTCAAAAAACAAAACAAAACAAAAAAAAACCCTGGTAATTTTATTTATAGAGACAAAATGATAAAACTAACGCCCTTTGGGTAGTTGATCTGCCTTGGAAAATTGATTTGCAATATTTTGGTTCAACTTACATGTCTGCTTAAAATTATAAAGTCACTTACAAAGAAAGGAAGTTTCTCTTAAGTCTTTCCTTCAGGCTCTCAGACTTCCCAATTGGCCAGGAAATGCTCAAATAAAGACATTTCCAGCCTTCTTTCCAAGCTCTTTGGTTCTGAGAAGTTCTAGTCATGTGTCTGTGCCTAAGGTCTTGGAGAGGACTTTGAGGGAAATAAGCCTACTACGCACGTTTCTCACTAGGTTCCTTGTACAAACTGCATTTCCGTAACACGGCTCTGCCAACACAATCTCTGCCGTCAGCACGCTTTGAAACTACAATTCCCGGAGTGACCCGCACGGGGCCGCCCTCCGGATTGGCCAAAGCTGGGTGACGCTCAGTGTTTTGGCCGGGACGGTCACATGTTTCCTTTGTTGTGAGCTGGGGCCGGGACTGCTGGCTTTCCTGGACGCCGGCGCCCAAGAGTGCTCCGCGCAGTCAGCCGCTTCCAGCCGTCGCCGAGAGGTACCTGGCGGGGTGACAGCTCCGGACTGGACGCAAGGCGAGGACCCGGAGACGAAGGGGCGGCGGGAATCCTCGGAGGCTGCTGCTGGACCCGCAGGACCCTTGTCTGAGGCAGGGGTCACCGGGTCGCACGGTGTGTGTAGGGGGCGTCCCCAGCTTGGCGACGACCCCCGGGGGAGGGCAACCCGCCTCGACACCCGCGCCCGGAACTGCGGCGTGGCCTGCGGGGCGTGGGGTCGCCGGCCGAGGCAGCCCTTGGGGCCACGCTGTCACCCTGGAGGGACGGGACGGGGCTTTGGGCCCGCGGGGCAACCGAGGGGCTTCACATGGCGCTGCAGCTCCTTTTACGTCCGGCAGCGCCCGAGCGCGACGGCCGGAGGTCCGGGCTGCCCGCCCCGCAGCGCCGCGGGCGCCGATGGCCCAGTGGTGGAGCTCTGAAGACACGGCCCGGGGCCGTTAGAGCGATTGCGAAACCCTCTCGGCGCCGTCACCTGACGTCGCCCCCGCCCGCCAGCCTTTTGTTTACCGGCCCGCACCGGGAACCCGGCCTGTGGCGGCCGTCCCTGGAGAGCCGCGGCCGGGCGGGGGTGGGGGGCCGCGGGCGTCTAGCGGCTGAGTCCCCGCCCCTTGCCACTCCTCGCCGCGGCAGCGTTTCACTGTAGTTCCTGTCCTGGGTGCCGGGGTGCAGACCGTTAGCGCGCAGCGCCTGGGCCCTTGCGGCGCTTGTGGGCGGAGCCTACTGTGGAGCTCTGAGTTCTCATTGGCTGATGACCTGTCACTAAGTGGGTCTCCCGGGCCGTATACTTCCCGCCCCCCTGAAGGTGAGCTGGAGGACGCGCGGGAGCGCGCCGGGCTGTGGGGGCCGCAGCGGGTTGAGAGCGGCGCGCGCGCTTCTGCAGCTGCTGAAGCCGGAGCCCGTGTGGGCAGCTCCGGGCTTGCCGGAGACTGCGGCCAGGTCCGCCCTCCGAGGACCGGAAAATCAGCGCCCTGTAACTGCTGTCGCATCGTCTGCCAGGATGGTACGAAGGAAGTTCTGCGGATTGGTTCCAGCCTGTTCTGTAAGAAGGGTTTAGACAGCTAAATATAACGCATAACGCCACATTCGAGGGTGACCGTGGGCCAGTGACTAGTCACAATAGTTTATAATGATTAATCACTTGCTCTTCTTGGCGGCTATAAACCTCTTCTTAGCATTTGCAGTTACGACCATTAAAGTGCACCAGCTGGGTGATTAAAATCACCTGGGGGTTGATCTTTCTTAGGTTTTTAAAGTTAGATTTAAAGGCAGCTGTCTGTTAAGATTGGCATGTTTTCTACTTTAAAAAAAAAAAAAAAGATACTTTGAGTTTACCCTCTAAGGTTTTAAGGATTCTTCTAATCTCCAGCTTAGTTGAGTTGTTTTCCTTGTTTGGGGGATCTGGTTCACACACTTCTGTGTATTAATCTTCTAGGTAATTCAACGATTTGAGAAGTAAAGTGCAGATGTGTTTAAAAATTGTAAATTAAGATGATGGTTATAAAATTTGGAAGGCAAGTCATTTTTATGCATAATGTATAGTCAGAGTGGTTTTTCTAGTCTTTTGGCTTAATAGGGTACTTGGGTTTAATCAGATTTTCTTTTCTTTGAATCTGTACCAATTCACCAAGACGCAGTATGTTTTTTAAGAGGAAGATAGAGTTCGTCTAGGTGAAACAAATTAAATGTGAGCAGTTTTCATTGGTTAGACATTCTTAGCCTATTTTTAAAATTCAGCTAGAGATGACAGCTCAAGAATGTACAACTGTTGTGATTCGAACTGCCGCATAGCTAGTGCGCTGAGAGTTTTTAATACAGCTATATAAGCATAAATGCAACTGTCTGACCTTTAAAAATAAACCGCCCCGTGATAAAGACTTGTTTACTCAAAGTCCGTGTCTTAGTCTCTAAACAGGAAGAAGGAATAATATTGTGAATTATGGCTATCAGCTTCATCTTAAACTTTCTTGGCTTCTGTCCAAGTTGTTAAACCTTAATGTTTTTTCAATACACTTTTTTTTTAAACTTCCTTGTTTTTCTGCCACTTCACTAAAACCCAAAGGTCAAGCCTTTGCGAAATAAATATTAGCTATATATAGCAAATAACTGACTGCAGGATTTTTTAAAATACACTTTCCTGTAACCTAGAAATAGAAATTTGGGGCTTTTTAAATAAATAGGGGCTATATAATGAAAAATATAGATACAGTATTCTCACAAGTACACATATGAAGTAAGTTTTTATGATTTTCTGTTATGACTGAAATAAGTGTGTGTGGCCACTTAGCACTTCATATTTTTTCACTTTTTTATTAGTACATCTTTGCAGTACATGATGTTTACATTCATCTTAGGGGTGGGTACATGTACTTAACATACTTAGAGTCTTTTTGTTCCCCTTTCTGCCTTCCCTTCACCTGACTCTAGAAACCCTTTCTCCCAGTTTCATTATTATTTTTTGGTTCATGTCTGACATGCAATGATTACATTGGTTGGCACATGTACATGACACATCTTAAATCTTCTCCATCCGCCTCTCCCACACCTTTACCCATTTCCTATTTGCAGAAGCTCTGTCTCCTTGTTTCCTTATGTCTTTTATTTTGCTCTTTATTTGTGCTTTGAATTTCTCATAGACAAACCATGTGGTATTTGGGGTTATGTGTCTAATATATTTCACCTACCATTCTGTTTCCAAGGTGCATCCATTTTCCTATAAAAGTCTCAAATCCATCCTTTATAACCAAGTAGTATTCCATCATGTATACATATCACATTTTTTATCTGGTTATTTGTTGATAGACATATAGGCTGCTTCCAAGATTTGTTTATTATGAGCTGTGCTGCTATAAACATTGGCATGCATGTGTTGCTGTGATACGTCTTTAACTCTTTCAGAAAGATGCCTAGGAAACAAATAGCTGAGTCAAATGAAATTGAGTTTTTAGTTCTTTGAGAAATCTCTATACAGATTTCCATAGGAGGGTTCCTTTTTCACCACAGCCTTGCCAGCATTTAAAACTCCTTTTTTGCCAGGTGTGGTAGCACACACCTATAAGGAGGCTGAGGCAGGAGGCTCCATGAGTTCAAAGCCAGCCTGGGCTACATAGTGAGACCCTGTCTCAAAAAAAAAAAAAAAACCCAAAACCAAAAGTCCTTTCTATTATGAAAACCACAATAAGCCATTTCAGTGCCATGTTCAGTGCCAGTACTCCAAGGCTGAGACAGGAGGATCATTAGAGCCAGGTGTTGGAGCCCAACTTGGGCAACATAGACCCTGTGTCCAAATAAGAAAAAAGAAAGAATACCACAATGACTGCTTTTTATAATTGAAAAATTTATCTTTGCCTAAATTCATCATCTAGTGAACATAGTTTTTCAGCATTTGGAAGTCTGTTTTTGTTCTTTGAGACAGGATCTCAAATTGGTCTCAAAATCCTCCTACCTCAACTTCCCAAGTGCTGGGATTACAGGTGTGCACCACCATTCCCCGTTGGTAATCTCACAGAATACTAAAACTGATGTCTTTAAAAAATAATTAGGTTTAGGCCAGGTGTGGTATTGCACACCTGCAATTCTGGCATTTGGGAGGCTGAGGCAGAAGGATTACCTCAGGTTCTAGGCTAACCTGGGTTACATAGTGAGTTCAAGGCCCATCAGAACTACATAGCAAGACCCAAAATGGTAGGGTTTACTCTTGGGTAAGGTTTCTAAAAGTTGATTCTGTAATTTTTTTTCCTTTTGGTACCAGGGATCAAACTCACGACCTCATACTTGCCAGGTAGGCACTTAAGCCAATGCACTACATTCCCCAGCCTGATTCCATAATTTATGCTACAAGGAAGGTGAATAAAAATACACTTTAAAATGCTTTTACACATAAGTTATTTAGAATACTTGCTATCAAACTTGTTCATGTGACAGAGCACCTGGTGGTGTCCTTGCAGATAATTCTAACAGAAAAACAAAAACAATTTTGTGAACAGAAAACATGTCACAAATCTATAGATTTTTCAATTTATGCATTAAGCACCTAAAAGAAACTAAAGACAAAAAAAAAGATAAAGGCTAATGACATTGTTTACATGTCAAATTTAATGAGAAGCATAAGTAGGCAAAACAGGGCAGTATGATGTTCAATGACTGATTTTTTTTTTTCTTTTTAGGAGTCTAAAAATACCAATAATTGAAAGTTTTATAGCAAGGGAGAAAAACACTGGAAATATTTGATTTTTTCTATGATTTAGGAGAAGATAGTATTATTTTTTAGTTACAGAAGTGTATTATCTAGTCTGACATATTAAAATCTAAATTTATGCACCCCCTTGTATTTCTGTTTCTCTCACCAAAGTCCAATAGGTATATCACTCATCTGATGTTCTAGTTGATCAGAGTAATTGTTACTTATTATATTTCTAGCCAAATAACATAACGAGAGGTTTTAGTTGGTTTTGGATCTCTTCTGGTAGTTAAATATGATCTTGGTGATACTGGATGATTAAGGAATTGGATTAAGGATTGGAATTCATGCGTGGTGAAGCACACCTGTAATCCCAGCACGTAGGAGGCTGAGGCAGGATTGCTGAGAGTTTGAGGCTAGCCTGGGATACAAGGTGTGTTCAGGGCCTGCCTGAACTGCAGAGTGAAACTTTGTCTTAAAAGAGACAAAAAAAAAAAAAAAAAAAAAAGAATTGGAGATGTTGAGGGTTTAGCTCAGTGGTAGAGCATGAGCTTAGCATGCACAAGGCCTTGGGTTTGATCTGCAGCACCATGCGCATGCAAGAGATTGGAAATGTTGAAAATAGCTTGAAGAGTAGAATTTATTTATTTATTTATTTATTTTTGCATTTTTATCTTTTTGAGCAGCGTCTCACTATGTAGTTCAGGCTGTCCTTGAACTCACTTTGTAGCCTCGGCTGACCTCAAACTTGCAATGATCCTCCTGCCTCAGCCTCCTGAGTGCTGGGATTACAGGCCAGGCATACCACATCTGGCTTGGACTTTAAATATAGTCTTTGCAAAAGTTAGTTTAAGGATCAGTTCTCCAGAACAATGCTTTATTTTGTGAATTTAACAGTGCAAATTTGTAATTTTTTAAAAAGGCTCATCAGAGGCTGGGGAGTGTGGCTCAGTTGTAGAGCACTTGCTTAGTGTGAGTGAGGCCGTGGGTATGATCCTTAGCACGAAAAGTACAAAAGAAAAATGGTTCTCAGATAATTAAAGCAACATTTGTGACAGTAAAAATATCTAAAATTTATAAAACCTGCTTGGTTTTTTGTCATACTTTTTTCAATACATTTCGCTGTTTATTTTAAAATAATTTACTATGTTGCAATTATTTGCCGGTTTTTCCTCTTTTAAGTTACCATGTATCTTTAAAGATAAATCTCTTGGTTAATATTCTTGTTTTAACCTTTCTTCTTGTTTTAACCTTTCTTCTTGTTTCCTCTGGGTTCTTCATCCTTGGTTACATTTGAGAAGGAGTATTATAGAGCATGGCTAGTGGTGATGCACTGTTTTTGCATTTTTTGTCACCACAGATTGCAGAGGCCTTGTTAGTTGGGGTGCTGTTGGTTTCCTGTGTTTTCTGGTATAGTACTTAGTCCTTAAAATCCTTCATTAGTCCACATTACCTTTAACAATGATAGTAATCTCTTTTATAGGCTTCCTTTATTCTAAAGGAAAAAGAAGCTTGTGGCAGTACGGCTGCTCTGTATGTAGGTCAGTTGTTACTATGCATCTTCTCCAGAGTCTGTACGACTTCTTCAGTCCCTTGCCCTTACTATACTAGGTTGGTAAGTATTACCTAGAAGTTCTGCAGAAAATACCCAGGTGAATTGCCTTGCCCTTTCTACTCTATAAGGTATAATACTAAGCCAAATGAATAATTAGAGGCTCTATTCTAGTTTTCTTCTGGAAGAATGCTGAGAATTTGAATCTGCTTTGCTATCTTGGAATTCTTGTTCTAGTCCTACCCCTCCAAAGTCTAAATTTTAATCCAAATCCAGTATTTGCAACTGTAATGTGAGACACAGACTAGGCTCCCTACAAATATTTTTTGAATTGACCCAAATCCTTCCAATGACTTGGATCTTGTTATTTGTTGAGAAAAATACTGCCTTAGCCCAGAACAAATAGTCCCCTCATCTAGCCAAATTACAGTATTCTTTATGAACAAATTAGAATGATGTCTGAAAGTAATATCCCTTATCAGCACAGTATGGGTATAGAGATGTGTTCGCATGTATATTAAATATCAGTTGTAGTTTATTTTTTATTTTGGAAGTAACTTTTGAATTTGTTAAAGTTATTTAGAATTTGAGTTCTATTTATAGATTTCTGGGCCAGAAATCAAAACTGCTTGTATTTAAATACTATTGCTAGTCTATGCACAGTTTAAACATCTGGTATTTTTTCTTAAGCATTCTTATCTTTCCCTTTCACAAAAAGAAAGAGGAACAAAAAAGGAAAAGAATTGTTCTGTATTAGTTGGGCTTCTATAGGCAGTAAGTCTATAATGTTCAATAAAGTAGAAGGCATATTTGTGTATTAGAAAAAAATAATTTCATTAACTCATGATATATGGAAAAATTTAGATAACTAAGAATTTAAAACCTGGAATTTTCTGAATTCTTAATATTTACTTACGTTGATTCTATAAGTTGTACAACACATAGTAACTAAATTATTTATGGTAATCTTGATAGACTATGAATTATCTAATAAACAAAATTTAATTAAATACCAATTTCCAGACATTTCTTCAAATATCCAAAGTGGAGTTATCATAGAATATGTATTTTTCCTAATCTCAGTGCCATATTAAGCTTGGTGTTGCCATGAATATTTTACTCATTTTTCATTTAAGAAGTCTTATGGGGAGGGGGACTTACTGCAGCCAGGCACGGTGGCAGATGCCTATAATCCCAGCACTCCGGAATCTGAGGCAAAAAGATCACTGTGAATTTGAGGACAGTGTGGGCTACAAAGAGAATTAAAGGCCAGTCTGAACTGCAGAATGAGACCCTATGTCAAAAAGACCAAAAAAACATCTTATTGCAGGGTAAAATACTCGAGTTGATTTAAAAAACTACTTTATATATAAAAAGACATAAAATTACAAAGTTATTAATTTGCTTTCAGTGTTATTGACTTTCTACACAAACATGAACTTTCATTCAGAAATTGGAATTCACTATGAACTTTTACAGCATATTAGTAAATAATGCCAAATGTGTATAAATTGATTAGTGTCCAATTTATATGTTGTTGTTATTTATTTTAGGTGTGGACATTTAAACAACACAAATACTCCAGTGGGAGCTTTGATCAAGCAAATGCTAAAAAGGTATACTCCTAATACTTATAAATTGTGTAAACGTTGTTAGAAAGTGTAAATTTTTTGTACTTTAACCACAGATAACTTACACCAGAGTGACAAGGAACTGTTCTGTCTGTAAGATCATAAAGAAGCTGGGCATGGTCATGTGCCTGTATCCCCCAGTGCTAAAATACTTTCATATATGATCTCCTGCTTGTCTATTTGAGCCAAAGAGAAATTTAGTTCTTAAGATATGATACTTCATTTTGTATTCTGAACACATTTTCAATTAAACACTGAGAAAATGCAATGTATGAAAACAGAGACAATAGTATTTTATTGTTAACACCACTAATTATTTCTCTAGTCAAAGTTACAGTTGCTTGTATGAATTTTTTGAATCTGAAATGCAAGAAGAATTTAAATTAGATAAGCTGAATTTAAAAATAAGTTCATAAAAGAAAAAGTAAATTCTCAATTTGAGAAACTGACTTTGTGACTAATCCTATCATAATGTAAAACTAGTAAAGCAAAGAGTCAAATATAAGTTATACACCAGGTCACCGCAGTTTGTCATAATCGAATTATTCCCTCTTTATTACTTGTGATTTCACATACTTAAGTTTTTTTAACAGCAAAAAAATTGACATCTAGATAGCATCAGTGATCTGTCTTGCTATGGAGAATAGATTTCTGTATATAGAAATGTAACTGAAATAATTTCAAATTAAAACCACATTTGGGGGCTGGGGATTTAGCTCAGTGGCATAAGCGCCTGCCTTGCAAGCAGGCAGTCGTGAGTTCAATCCCCGGTACCGATAAAAAAGGAAAAAGACAAAAAAAAAAAAAACAAAAAAAAACCACATTTGATACGATGTATGCTACTGCCTACATAGACATGGAACCTGGAATTCAGAAGTGATTGTGTGCACTCTAAGTAGGTTTTTAAATGTTAACCCATGCTTATCTGCATGTGTATATGAACATATACATACAAGCGTGGACTGCCACAGCCTGTGGAGGCCTGCAGTGTGGCACACATGAAGTCTCTGCGTAATCAGGGAGTAACTGCATGTAAAACTCTAAGGCTGTAAGCCAACGTTTTTGCTAACTGTAGTACCAACCCTATCAAGTGATTATATAGAGTTCTGTTAGCTGATCCATGTAAAGAGTTCAGAAAGTATGCAGTCGAAAAAAGATTTTTAGTAGTTTTGTTTTTAATGCATACAATAAAGTTTCCAAGGTTGCATCAATCTTCTGACACAAAATTAGTACCGAGGTTTAGCTCCTAATAGTTAATCAAATCTTTCCTGAGAGATAGTCAACAACTTCCTGATTTTTTTTCAGGATTCTTAGAGGAGATCACAGAGCATAATACTTGCAGTCATCTTAGGACTATTTAAATGTCAGCATACTGCCTCTGAATCCCCAGCTTGGGATCTCAGATGAAAATACTGCATTATTTATTTCATTGTTGTCTTTCATCCCTTTTGACTAATACAGTTGCTCAGTTATCTCTGACTTTACTTACACAAGGGAAGATAGACTAAGGAATGGGAAAGTGTCCACAGAATGCAAGCATTTAGGTGTCCTTCAGCTGGCATGCTCAGGTCCTTTCCCCTGAATAATCAGAGTAACCTGATACCCATCTACTTGAGGGAAATCAGGAGAGCAGGAAGATTGAGTGCTAGACTGTAGGAAGAAGTTAAAGTTGGCAATAGAACCAGGCATGGTGACACATGCCTGTAATCCTAGCACTTGGGAGGCTGAGGCAGGGGAGGATCCTTGCAAGTTCGAGACCAGCTTGGGCTACACAGAGAGACCTTGTCTCAAAACAAAACAAAACAAAAAAAAGTAGTCATAGAAGTTTTAGGGGACCAGGTGTTGCAGAGCACATGGCTGAGGCAGGAGGATTGAGAGCTCAAGGCTAGCCTGGGTTACATAGTAACTTAGAGGGCAGGTTGGAAACAGTGACACTGTCTAAAAAAAGTAGTAGTCATTTAAGATGGAACTGTGTTGTCTGTGGGAATGTGGCATCTCATCTATGCTATCTTAGATTGTTACATACCTTTTTTACAGTGCTTTGTTGCAGCTACATTAAAGAATAAACTCAAACCCCAACAACACTATTTGAATGTTTCTAAACTCTTGGTGAGCACAGGCTTTTGACAGACAATAATAAGTATGTAAGTACTTGCTGCTAGTGGTGGTGATAGAAGCAACATGTGTGAACAGTGAGGGAATTTGTGGAAGTTGAAGTATCTAGTGAATATTACAATGAAGATCACAAGTTCTAGCCTACTCTCAGCACTTTAGTGAAAGACTGCCTCAAAATAAAAAATCTAGGTGAGGTGGAAATGTTACTCAGCGAGAAGGCCCTAGGTTTCAGCCCTAGTACTGCCAAGAAAAACAAATGATTGGGAAACAATGACAAAGCTAACAACATGGGAAAGAATATATAATAAAATAAATTGTTCTTGATTTTTTAATCACATTTTCTTCTCCTTTGTGACACCTAAGGATTTTTTAAAGTGTGATATAATTTAATATGTGAGCAAATACACAAAATACTGTACAGTCTTAAGATTACTAGCTGTCAAATTGCAATTTTCTTTGTGGCTTCTGAATGCACGATGACACCCCATTTTGTGAATAAACCATGATGTAGTTTAGTTACCTTCTTACTGATGCATTGCTGATATATATCAGGAATAAGCTGGGACGTTTAGAAGGGGCTGCAGATCAGCATCTGAGGGCATAGAATAGATGAACATTCCTTTAAGAACTCAAATATATGTTGGGTCATGTGTCACCTACCAGAAATGTACACACTTGGAACAGAACTCCCTTAAATTAACATCAGAGAATGAATAACTATAGCCAAGTGCTTAAAAGCCATTGGTTACTTATTTATAGTAGTCTTTGGGGGCTTGGAGGATTTCCTTGTATTAGCAGAAGGAAGCAAAGCCTGGATAACATACTTTTTTAAAATCTCAAACTATTACCTATTTATAACGGGAATTTTAGAGAAAGTATTTTTGGCATATATATCTCTTATTTTCTATCCCTGGATGAACTAATCTACATATTTTTCTATTAGCAGATGTTTTATTATCTACCTTTTCACCTTTTTGGCTAATATTAATATTTCTCTATATCATTAAATGGTCTCTATGCTTTTTAATAGCTTCATTGATTGACACTATATTCTCATTTCCCTAATCCTTTATTGTAGGGCTTCAAGTATTTTCTACTAATACACCATAATCTGTAGATAAACCTTTCCATATTGCTGATTATTTTCTGAGGGAGAGATTGCTAGAGACTCTAGTCAAACAATATACATGTTTTTAAAGTGTTGATAGATACAAGATAGATTTAGCTAAATTCCATTATAACAGTGCTGTATTAAAAGTTATAATTTTTTTAAGATTCTGAATATAGTCAAATTTTGTCTCACACCTTTATAGTTAGTAAGAAAAATGAAATCCAGCTGTATAAAAGGAACGTGGAAGGTTATTTGTAACTTAAAACATATATGGTATCCTTTCAACTGAGCAACTTCAGGGGTAATCTTACAGATTATCCTGATGTTTTAATAGTGCATATGCTAATTTTCATTAACTTTTATTAAAATGAGATCACACTCTGTAACCCTATGAACTATATTGATTGTGATTATTGTAGTTACATCAGAATGAAATTATGTAACTTGAACACTGAATTTTTTACACATTCTAAAACCTTCATTTTTAAAAATTTTAGCTACATAAAGAAGATCCCTAACAACCATTTCTCAGCAATTATATAGCCGTCTGATGTAACAATGGTACTAATATTGGGACGCAGACTAAATAGAGAGGATCTTGGAATGCGCGATTCGCCAGCAACTAAGCGTAAAGTTTTTGAAATGGACCCTAAATCTCTGACAGGCCGTGAGTTTTTTGACTTCTCTTCAGGATCATCCCATGCGGAAAACATACTCCAGATATTTAATGAATTCCGAGACAGCCGCTTATTCACAGACGTTATCATTTGTGTGGAAGGAAAAGAGTTTCCTTGCCACAGAGCTGTTCTTTCCGCCTGCAGCAGCTACTTCAGAGCTATGTTTTGTAATGACCACAGAGAAAGCCGAGAAATGTTGGTTGAGATCAATGGCATTTTAGCTGAGGCTATGGAATGTTTTTTGCAGTATGTTTATACTGGAAAGGTGAAGATCACCACCGAGAATGTGCAGTATCTTTTTGAAACCTCCAGCCTCTTTCAAATTGGTGTTCTCCGGGATGCATGTGCCAAGTTCTTGGAGGAGCAACTTGATCCTTGTAACTGCTTAGGAATCCAGCGCTTTGCTGACACCCATTCACTCAAAACACTCTTCACAAAGTGCAAAACCTTTGCATTACAGACTTTTGAGGATGTGTCCCAGCATGAAGAATTTCTTGAGCTTGACAAAGATGAACTCATTGACTATATCTGTAGCGATGAACTTGTTATTGGTAAAGAGGAGATGGTTTTTGAAGCTGTCATGCGTTGGGTCTATCGTGCTGTTGATCTGAGAAGACCACTGCTGCACGAGCTCCTGACACATGTGAGACTCCCACTGTTGCATCCTAACTATTTTGTTCAAACAGTCGAGGTGGACCAATTGATCCAGAATTCTCCTGAGTGTTACCAGTTATTGCATGAAGCAAGACGGTACCACATACTTGGGAATGAAATGATGTCCCCAAGGACTCGGCCACGCAGGTGAGTAGACCGTTTACAGACACGGCTAAGAAAAGCTGGATTCAGTTGATATTTTTATCACTTATTTTTCTTCTCTTTTTCTTAAAAATTAATATATATTTGCAAAACATAGTAACATTCATGTCAAAGAATTGGTACATTTATGTATTGCATCCAAAAGTTGTTTTTAAAAAAAATATTTTTTAGTACCAGGAATCAAACTCATGACCTCACGCTTGTTAGGTGAGTGCTTATGCCACTGAGCTAAATTTCTGGCTTTAAAATGTTTTTAAACATTCTACAGGGATTTAAATACTAGAACATCCATGGTTGATAAAAAATAAAGTAATAAAAATATTTTTATAATTCCTGAGTCCAATCTCAAAGTAGTCATTTATATGTTTAGTTTATAGGTAGCTTTATACAATTGGAGACTCATTTTGGGTTATGTAAATCATAAGAATGAAAGCTGTAATGAAGACTAGATTCAACAATGGCTTTTATTCATTATTGTTGTTCTGTCAAAGGCTTTTTACAAAGGATCTTTGTAACTGCATGTCTCAACACATTTGACTTTTCTTCCCAACAGTCTTTGGGTACAGAGTTAGCTAACCACTTCTGAGAGGCTTTCTTAAGGCTACTTGTACTTGGTAAATTTAGGTTTGGGGTAGAATTCAATTATTAACACATTTCTTGCAATAAGTTATTTCTATAAAATGCCTATGGACTTTAATTCATAACTGTATAAAAATAATCTCCATGCTTAAATACCAAAAAATAATGCTTATTGTGAATAAGCAAGTACTACAGTGAGGAATCTTAAATATTTTTCTGACAAAGCTAAGTTAGCTGTTTTTTATTTTTCTTTTGTGTTATGGTAAAAAACACATAAAATTTGCCATCTTGTTTACTTTTAATTATGCACTCTAGTAGTGTTAAATATATCCACATCATTGTAAAAACAGTGTTCTTCCATACCAGCTCCATTTTTTCAATAAATTTACTATATAGCATTACTCAAAACGTTACATTTTACTCTGTTTTGGAGTGTTAATGTTTTGGAATGTGACTAAAATTCATCTTGTGAGATGGTTTTTAAAATGCACACTAGTTGGATATAACAAGATTTAATGTTTCCTCATATGTAAAATGAAAATGATGATTTACAATTTACTTCCTTGAAACTATTAAATGCAATGATCTCAGTACTAGCATATACAATAGCTAATAATTATTAGGTATTATTACGTATATAGTATAATAGAGGTTCACTCACTTTAGGAAAACTCCAATACTTGAAAGTCTCAACTTTTTATAAACTAGATACAATATTGGGTAACTAGTATTACAACAAATTGACGTAATTCTTTGTATTAGAGAATGTTGTTCTTCAATTACCTGAAATTATTAAAAGTATAATTTTAAAAGAAACATAGAATGGGCTGGGGATTTAGCTCAGTGGCATAAGCGCCTGCCTTGCAAACACACCATCGTGAGTTCGATCTTGGAACCAAGAAAAAAGAAACATAGAACGTTTTACTTCTACTTAATGTGGAACAGAAATCATGATTTATTCTACAAATGCACTAATTTTATTTTTAAGGACACTAGGGCTGATCTTAAGAAATTCTGAGCTGCCAGGTGTGGTAATACTTGACGGTAATCCCAGCACTAGGGAAGCGGAGGCAGGAGGATTGCCGTGAATTCCAGGCCATCCTGGGCTACATAAGTGAGTTCAAGGCCAGCCTGCACTACACAGCAAGACCTTGTCTCAAAAAAACAAAACAAAACAAAACAAAACAAAACAAAAACCCAAAAAAACAGAAAGAGAGAAAAAGAAAAGCAATTTGGAAGACCAGGATTCCTTAATATATTCATTAAGAAAGCTAAATAGCCTCACGCAGTGTGATTGTTAGCTTTGTCAGACTTTTTTGGACACAGTATATCTCCAAAGGGAAAATTTTCCAAGAAGAATCCCCTTGTAATAGATAAAGTGTTCTGGGGTCAACTGGGGCTAATTAATGTACTCATCCTGCATATCTCATGGTATTAGAGAAACAGTGGTTATAGATAGTAAAACCAAAGTGAGTTATTAATACTACTTAGGGAAACATGACCTGAGTAAAATGGGATCACAGCCTCAGTGTCCATCCACTCCTTTAAGGATGTAATTTTCCTAATTCACTTATTATTTGATTTCTAAAAATGTATTTTATATCCAGTTTTAAGGAAACGAATTTATTTTGTACAATGAAATGTACAACATCACTTTTCTTTAGGAGACCAGTAGGAAAAACCAACCTATAGTCATACTGAAATTTTAGGCCACCATAAATACAGTAGCAGTGTTTCTGTGGACACTGAATGAGGAGTGTTACAACTCTGCCATCACTTTTTGTCCCTTCGCATTCTTTCACTTGTCTGTCACTGCATGCTAGCATCAGTTCCTAAAAATGTCACACTCTGAACAGTGTGTATTGTTTGTGCAGGTTCTCATCTTCCTGCTTTGAATGAGGTGTGATCTCTCCACTTCTTCAACTGCAGTTCCTTCCTCTGACCTCTGTTCCAGTCACTACTGAAACTCCTCTTGAGCAGGTCATCACTAACCTCCTGTTTTTCATTTACTAGCCTCTTGCTGTCCTTATGCCTGATCTCTCTTTAAGATTTGGCATTATTGGGAGCTGGGGATTTAGCTCAGTGGCATAAGCGCCTGCCTTGCAAGCAGGCAGTCATGAGTTCGATCCCAGTACCGATAAAAAGACAAAAAAAAAGATATGGCATTATTAATTGCCATATCCATCTTGAAACTATCCCTCCACTGGCTTCTGGAATACTGTTCTCCTCATGAGCCTCCTGTTTCTCCAGCTGCTCCTTTGCAGTTTGATAGTTCTTACCTCCATATCAAGTCTTTGAAGTGCTGATTTTCTGCTTGGTTCACTTCTCTTGGCTCTTTGTTTTGCCTTACATACTTTGCTAGGTGACCTCATCTCCCCTGTTCTCATGGTTTTAATTACTCTACGTGCTGTTAACTACCAAACCTGTGTCTCCTTCCCAGACCTTTCTCTTTTCATTTGTTGATTCACATTTTTAAATGCTTACATATTTTTATTTATATATCTCTTTTAAATCGTATATATGTTTTTATTACTTGAGTGTGCATATTTTTAAATAACAGGCAAAAGAACCTTAATACAATCCATATTCAAATCTTTGCCAAACTATTTTTTTATAAACCTGGATCCAGTTCAGGATCATTCATTACATTTAGCCATGTCAGGAAATTCTCTTTTATTCTAAAACAATTCTTTTTTCAAGATTCTGGCTTGTGATGGAAAAGTTGTCCAGGAAAATATTCTACTTTCTGGATTAGTCTAGCCCCTTTCTTATGGTGTTACTTGGCTACATTTCTTGGAAATTGAAAGTTGGCTGTAAAAGCTTCATTTTGGTGGATACTAGTTAAATATTTGTGGCTAGAATTCATCCTCCATGGTATTCACATACTGTGTCACATCAAGAAACACAGCATATCCAGCCGCCTTTCCCATAATTGTGCAAAAATTAACAGTGTGGTGACAGTTTGACCCCCCTCCCACTGTACAGTTAGGTCATACTTGCCACATTAGCCAATATTTTTTAGTGTTTATCCTATGCTAAGTATCTGCAAGTGCTCAAGGTATACTGGGTACTCCAACCTATATACCCATATTTCTTGAATGGAACATTAAAGTGATGGAAGTTTCCTAACAAAAAGGCCATGCTAAACATAAACATTTTGATAGTCAGCCAGATGTTATCCCAGCACTTCGGAGGCTGAGGCAGAAAGATTGAGGCAAGTTGAAGGGCAGCCTAGGCTACATAGTGAGAACCTGGCTTGCTCAAGTTAAATAACTAAGGCCAGGCGTGGTGGTTGTATGCCTGTAACCCCAGCACTTGAGAGGCTGAGTCAGGAGGATTGCCACAAGTTTGAGGCTAAGCTGGGTCACATAGTGAGTTCAGGGTTGGCCTAAACTAAGCAAGTCCCTGTCTCATAAATATATAAATAAATAAGTAAGCAAGGATTGATAACCTGCCTTGCTGGATGTAAAATGTTGGTTGCACTGAAAAAAACTAATCATGGTAGAGAGTAAAGCTTAGAAACAATGGTTGTATTTCTAGTAATACTTTCAACTGTAAGTTTTTATACTGATACATACTATTTTTAGTAACCAGTGCAAGCATCATGATATATTCAGAGCACTGGTCAGGAACAGACTTTTGAATCTGCACAGCTAGTTAATCTCCTGACCTTGGGCATAACTTCTGTGTGTGTCAGCCCCTCTTCTGTAGCATGCATCGTACCACCTACCTTGTAAACTATTGTGAAGACTGGAGATACTGTATGAAAAATGCAGAGCCTCACATTTGATGGAGAAATTTGTAATAAAGATTGTTACTGGTTTCATGAAGAAAATTGTAATACATTTTAAATTTGGGCTATACACTTATCAACTAGGAAATGTAGTTTCCTACAGAGATTACACTTATCAACTAGGAAATGTAGTTTCCTACAGAGATACCTGCTACAAATGGTTTATTTTAGGGGCTGGGGATATAGTTCAGTGGTAGCACACTTGCTTAGCATGTGCAAGGCCCTCGCACTGCAATAAAAAGAAAAAAAATTATGTTAGACATAATTTTTTAAAAAGCTGTGCATCTGTGCCAATATGTTTTTCCTCAAATTTTATTTTATAATTATTCCAGTTTAAGAACTACATTTTATTTGTGAGACAGATATCTACCCCACTGTCATTCCATAATAATAATACATATATCCCAGGAACTTCTCTGCATGCTATTGTGTGTATTAACTCATTAAATACTCAGAACAGACCTGAGTATTAGTCCAGTGCCCACTCTGCAGCTGAGCAGACAGGCTCAGAGAAGCAACTTCATCTGCGTCACATATCCAGTAAGCTGTAAAGCAAAAGTTCAAAACACAGGTGTTCTGGCTCCAGAGTCCCTGCACCTAACTAGCATGTAGA